AGTGTGGACATATAAATGTTACACTAAATTTATAATTAAAATAGAGATTATTTACGATAGTATAACTTCTTAAGTGCAGTGAATATAATATTAATTTTAGTTATAGTAACTCACGTTCAATTTTTACAATTAAGTGAATTTTTTAAAAGGAAAAACCGCTTATATTAATATCATTAGGGTTCGGATTGGTACATTAAACTCAAAGAGACCAACACAGACAATAACTACCCGTAACCAATCAGCACCATCAACCCTACGACTAGACATTCAACCATCACCCCTAAAAGAACAATATGAATCGCTAACCACCAAACGGGTGTGACCCAACAATCACCAGCCATATAAATCCTTCTAACGATATAATAGCTAGTAGAATTGTCAATCATCATCGTAGATCTAAGACTAAAGACATCAACAAAAAACAGAGTAATGTAAACAAACATAATGTGAAAATAAGAGCATAAGATATAAAATAACTGATAAAAGCTCCAATCTTCTTCCTGCCAGTTTTCCTGAAACATCATCTTCCAAACTCTGACACCTCGATCGCTCCAAGGCGACACTTCAGGAGAGGGGCGGACTGTCAATCTGTCTTCTCCATTGTTCAGCCCTTCACTGCTCCCCGTCTGCTTGTCGCTTGTGCCACCTTCTAATATGGTCATTATATGGCCATTGTGTACTTGCCAATCGTATGATGTAATGATTCCTATGATAGGAATCTAGGATGGCAACAATATACTCTTAAGGATGACTTTACTTTTTATGAGAAAGTTTGTACTAGAAAAGGGAAGGGAAATAATAAATAAAAAGTCTGTTGTAGCTGGGAGTGGGTGAAGTGTTATAAATAGAAAGCCTTATGTTTAGTTAGACAGGTTGGAACTATCTGCTTAGTTGGGATTGGGAGTCGATACTTTGTAACGACCCGTGAACTGTATTTTCTCTTTCTGTTAAACAATAAACTTTTCTATGTACATTCTTCTCCATTTTTGCCTTTTGTGAGATCGGAATTACTGTAGAATTAGTTCGAACATATCATTTGGTATCAGAGCATCGTTCATGACACCTGTCCATGGTTGCTACGTATGGAGCAATGGAAGGAAACTTGGAAAGTTTGGAAGGCGAGTTGGCGCATAATCGCGAAGAAATGAGTAGTACTCGCGACGTGGTCCGAAACATGCGCAAAGAACTTTGCGAAGAAGTCTGGAACGAGATGGCGGAGTTGCGTCACTTGCGTGAAATGATGAGAAAGCAGAATGTTCATCAGGAGCAGGGAAGATCAAGAACCTCAAACAAGAAAAAACGACACGACAGTTAAACGCATTTTGTCTCCAGAGGTAATTCTTGATCCATTTCATTTAGGAGAGAGGATGATAATCAAAGATTGTTTATGAAATCTGGTAGGAAAGTGGATTTGCCGCTTTTTAATAAAATCGGGGCTTATGGGTGGACAATTAGAGTCGAAAGATTTTGTAAACTCAACAATATAGTTGAAGAGGATAAGGTAGAGATAGCTACCTTAGCTATGGAGGAAAAAGCCTTAAATTTGTTCCAATTGTGGGATGAACATGTTGTAATGCGAAATTGGGAACAATTTAAGGTAGCACTAATTCCAAGATTCCAACCTGATCTACTACAAAATCCAAATGGCCCTTTGTTGAGTGTGAAACTTGACAGTGTAATGGATTACCGGGAAAGGTTTGAACTAGTTGTAGCTACTTTACGACATACAAATAAATGAATGTTTGGAAATATTTTTAAATGGCCTGAAGGATGAAGTAATTAAGGGAAGATATGAAACTGTATCTAGCCAGGACTCTAGCTGATTTGATGGATAGGGATTTATTTTTTTCATTTTCATTTACCTCAGTGCCGCAAAGGCTCCCACCTACGGTGGGGTAAGGGGGGGTCGGAGTAAGGATCATAGTTCTAGAATGAAACATTTTCAGTTTGTGGTAATAGAAGATTCACATAATGAGGAAGAAAATTCAAACAAAGGCTCCCACCTACGGGATCCTTAAGAAGGATGTATTCCACTGGAAATTCAAAATAGCCTATCCTTTAAATGAGATCCTTAAGAAGGATGTATTCCACTGGAATCAATCTGTCAGGGATGAGGAAGAATTGAAGTAGGCAATGTCTAACCTACCAATCCTACAAAGACCAAATTTTAACAAGGTGTTTCTATTCCTTTTTTGTGGTTACATGTCAAGAATGGGACGGTTTGGGAACTGGGTTACTCTAAGATGAGAAATATCAAGGGATTTTGCAAGAGTTGCGGGGACAACCAGAATCTATTCCAGATTTCAAACTCAAAAACATTTTGTTATATTATAAAGGGAAATTGATTATTCCCAGAAATTCTGCTAGGATACCCTTTATCCTCAAAGAATTTCATGAATATGCCATAGGAGGACATGCTGGCAATTTTAAGACAATGAAGAGAATTTTCACACTGTTTAATGGTCGGGATGAGGAAGGACATCACAACTTATGTGCATTAGTGTGATGTGTGCCAAAGAAAGTGCCATCAAAATGACATTCTTAATGTTCAATTTTTTTTTTCCCTTTGGAAATGCCATTTAGATGACAATCTAGATTCATGTTAACGATCTAATAAAAATGTTGACATAAGTGGTGATTTTGACCTGATTTGCAGAGACGGCGGCCACCGCCGACTAGATCTACGGCGGCAGCGGCCAGATTTGCAACGAGGGCAGCAAGATCTACGACAATGACAACCGGCAACTGACAACAGTAGGTTTTGCCAAGGTTCAAGGTATTTCTGTTCAACTACAAATAATAACTCCTGTTTGAAGAAAATTTAAACTTTAATCATATTTAAGCAATTAAGAATTTATTTACTCCAAGGGGAAAGATACAAATATATTATTCATTCTTACCATCAGGTGGAGAGATGTCCATAAGGCTTAAAAAGGTGCAAAAATATCCTATAATTTTATATTTAGGAGAAAATTTACCCTTTATGACTTTAAATAAATAACAAAAATTAAAAAAATAAAGTAATAAATATATTTGGGTTTGAAAAATGAAAAATAAAAAGAAATCCATTTTTTGTTCAATGCTTCCTTATTAAGATTTATATCAAAAGTTAATATTATTAAGATAAAGGAAGCATTGAGCACAAAATAATTTTGATTTTTTTTTTTAATTTTTCAACTTTTTTAGTGCTTTGTGGCAAAAATCATAATTATATGTCAAAATTTTAAAATATTTCTTTTATGTTAGCAATATTAAATTGATATAAAAATATTAAAAGAAAGCATTGAACATGAAAAGTTTTTTTTTTCAATCTCCAAGCTCAATATATTTATTATCTTTTTAAATTTTTAAGAGATATTTTTATTTATTTAAAGTTACTAAAGGTTAATTTTCTCCTAAATCTGAAATTGAGATATATTTTTGTACCTTTCACAACATTAGGGCATATATGCACATGGAGTACAATTAAAGATCAAAGATATATATACACCTTCTTTTTTACTCCCATTTAGGTAAATTTATGGGTACATTTCCATCTAAATGGCTTTTGCTCTTCTTCGTCCGATTATAGAAGAAAACTTGATATTTGTCTTGGACTTTTTTCACTTTGTTATTCGGTTAATAGTTTGGTACTCTTTGAATTTCTCCATTTCTCTCCTTTTACTTTACATATTATGGTAAATATGACACTTGGGTTACTTAGTTTATTGTGGCAGAATCACAGTTGAATAATAAAGAATAAAAATTTTACACTAGAGAAAATAACTTTATATAATATCAATATCTTCCATGAACCAAGAATAAAACATACTTTAGAAATAACTGTTAATAATATCAACTATCTGAATGTAGACAAAAAATATAATAGAGTCACTTTTCTACAAGAAATTCATCCATTTAGGACATTAAAAACTAACATTCAAATAATTGATATGGAAATATGATCACTTATTTGATATTTTGATATTAGTTTTTGAATAGTTAAATAACAGAATTTGCTATATATCACTTTTGATATATATTCAAATTGTGTTTTTTGGAAGTAGGGGGCTTAGATTGATATCACAACATTCATATAGGGATTAAAATAACAAAAGAATCACGTGTAACCATCTGCCCTTAAATCAGACTCAGAGTTAATCACCTTTGACAAAACAATATAACTCGATGATCCCAAATTGGGCATAATTGAGCCAATGACGGTTACCGCAGAACTCTCATCACCCAATCATAATGCACAAGTCTTAGGGAGTGTTTGCAACTGCTTCTGCTTAAAGAAAAATCACTTTTGGAGAAGTAAGGAAAAAGTGATTGGTAGTAAAAGTTGATAGTGTTTGAGAAAAAAGTGATCTTGAAAAGTAAAAGTTGGTAGTGTTTGGTAAAATAAGTGCTTTTTGTGTAATAGAAAAGGGAAAAGCACTTTTCACACGCAAGCCGAGAAAAAGTAAAAATTGGTAGTGTTTGGTAAATAAGTGCTTTTTAAAGCCAAAAGCGGAGAAGTGCTTTTTTTTAAGCAGTTGCAAACACTCCCTTACAGCACCAAACAAAATAAAAGTAAAAAACAACAATCTCAACATGAAATTTAAAACGTAAAATAGCAATAAAATAAAAACCAAAATTTGTCTTTGTGAAATGTGAGATTTATGGTTTAATGGTTTGCAAAGATAAGAAAATAACTTGGAATAGCAGGTCATCAACCGGTCAGGAACCATTGAATGAAGATAAGGTGCAAAGGTTGGATTATTCATGAATAACGAAAATATGAAACTATTGTAAGAAGACCACTAAAAGGTTGGATTATTAATTTCTATTTTCCCAAGAGTAAATGAAAGCATAAAAAAATTCAAGGGCAGGGGCGGTCCTGAAGGACAGGGCGCGCAGGCCTTCGGCCCAACAAATATGGAAAAATTTCAGGCCCAATTTCAGGCCTAGTCTAAACTTTTTACCCGGCCCAGACAGCGTCCCAACGCAGCGAACCTTGCGAACGCAGAAGTGCTAAACGCCCACAGCCAATAATTCATCGTCTCATACTCTCAGACATCGACCAAAGTGCGACAGGAAGTTGGAACGCCGACCGCCGACTTCGACACAGCTACGGTTGCGAGCCTGCGCTGGTGGCCGGCGCCCCGGCCCTGCCCATTCCGATTCTTCCCATTTCCCAGACTCGCAGCCCCTTATTAGGAAAGTGGACGGTTCCCAGAAGTAATTTTTATTGTAGCCTCAGCCCATTATCATTTCACAAGCGGCCTCTACGCTTCATCCTCAATTAATTTTGTAGTTGAAGGGCTTGGTTCAACGGAGAAATGGTGTGATTTTATTCCTCGAAGTTGTAATTTATTTTCTTCTTTATGTTATACGGATTATGAAATTAGGTATGAAGTTATTCGAAAACGAGGATGATGATGTAGAGTTGAGCAAAATAAAGATCAATGAGGAGTTTGCTCGCCGGTTCGAGCACAACAAAAAGAGAGAAGACCTTCACAGATTTGAAGAGCTGAAGAAGAAAGGTCTAGTTGAGGAAGATGAGGAGACTGAAGATGAAGGCGACAGTGAAAGTTTTGATAAGAAGGACACTGAGTTTTTCGATGCTCTGATTAAGATCAGAAGGAAAGATCCTATCTTGCAAAACAAAGATGCAAAACTATTTGAGTCGGAATCTGAATCTGACCCTGATTCCGAGTCTGATTACAATAAGAAAGCCAATGATAAGAAAAAGCCAATGTATTTAAAAGATGTAGTGTCTAAGCATTTGATGGAGGAGGGACCGGAATTTGATGATGAAGATGAAGAAGAGGATAAGAAGAAGCTAAAGACTTATTCAGAGGAGCAAGAGGAGCTCAGGAAGGAGTTCTTGGATGCAGTGGAGAAGATGGAGATGGAAGCTGAGGATGGCGATGACTTTTTAAAGGTTAAAGGGAGTGGGAAGATAGGAGGCGATGATGACGAGGATGCTGATGATGGACAGTTTTCGAAGAAGTTAGAGGAGTATTTCGGGGAGGATGACAAGTTAGATGAGAACGACCGGTTTTTGAAAGATTTCTTTCGTAATAAAATGTGGTTGGATAATGACGATAAGGGCAAGAAGGTGGATGATGATGAAGAGTCAATACTATCACAAGACGAAGAAGCAATTGAGAAGCAGGAGGATTATGAGAGGGAATTTAATTTTAGGTTTGAAGAGAATGCCGGTGATAGAGTTTTGGGGTACTCGAGGAAAGTGGACGGTTCGGTTAGAAAAAAGCCAAATGCAAGGAAGTTGCAAAGGGAGAGAAAGGAAGAGAGGATGGCAAGGGAGGCAGAGGAGAGGAAAGAGGAGCTAAAACGATTGAAGAATTTGAAGAAGAAAGAGATGAATGAGAAACTTCAAAAGATTAAAGAGATCGGCGGGATCAGAAATGATGTGGATTGTGTGCTAGATGAGGATGATCTCTAAGCCGAATTCAATCCTGAGGAGTATGATAGAAAGATGAACAAAACATTTGGAGATGATTACTATAATGAAGATGATGTTGATCCCAATTTTGTGAGTGATGGTGATGAAGCTCCTGAAAAGCCAGATTTTGACAAGGGAGACGAGTTACTTGGGCTATCAACCTGTTGGGAAGAAACAAACGAACCACGAGATATGGTTTTGTCCGTTCGGGAAAGAAACTCTAGGAGGGGTGAGGTTTATGATGATGATGATGGAGGAACAAATACAGATGCAATGCAGGCTGCTAAGGACCAGTTAATGGATGAATATTACAAGTTAGACTATGAGGATGTTATAGGAGACCTAAAGACTAGGTTTAAGTATAAACCTGTTAACCCTAAAAGGTTCGGTTTGAAAACAGAGGAAATCATAATGTTGGATGACAAGGATTTAAATCAATATGTGCCTCTGAAGACATTGGCTCCATATAGGGAAAAGGAGTGGAAGGTCCCACGTAATAAGAGATACCATCAGAAGCAGAAAGTTAAAGAGTTAATACTCGAGAGTGTGCAGAAATCAAACTTTGGAAAGAATGAGAAGAAGAAAAAGCAGCTAAGTGAGACAGAAACATCTAAGGTGGCAAGTTCCACAGAAAATGGCGGTGATGATACAAGAAGTTTATCCAGGAAGAAAAGGAGAAAGCTTCACCAAGCAGACCTGAAGTTAACCCATCAAAGGCTTAAGGCATATGGAAAGAAGTAAAAGCATCATCATTGAGGTGAGTACTTAGCCGGTAAGCCCTTGTTTGGTTTGGAATTTTGCGAGAGAAATATGTGATATCTTTTCTTAACTAATTCTTAAATATAGATGCATTATTTGAGTAAAGTTAGACTTTTGGAGTAACCTAAGACTAACAAATTAGGAAAAACAAAAACTAATCTTCCCCTCGAAAATCCTGAACCAAATATACTTCTTAGTATAAAAGTGCTAAAGCTTTCCAATAATTTTTAATAAGTTCCCTACACTGGTTGATATTGGGCTGGTAAGTTTATGTTTCCCTGATCACATTGCACATTACTCTGCAGGATTTGCCAGTTGTGCACCTATACTATGGTAATTTATCTGATGGAACCATATTTATTCATACACGTAGCTGTTGTGAAGTTAGCATTTGCAATCTCAACAGTGGGAATTGGAAACCCATGTTTGCAGAAATAGGGAGTTGAAGTGTTTTGTTAGTTGATGTGTGTTGTATTCCTTGTGGCACATTTGAAAGCATGGACAATATGCCGCAATGGTATGTGTCTTTGTTGTTCTTATACCTATTGCATTTGATGTATCATTGACATTATCACTTATGACATTTCAGGAATTTATTTGAATGGCTACATTTTCCAGAAAAAATGCAGTATGTAACTTTTGGAGAATTATCTATATAGGAGTAAAAGTAACATCAAATTCACATGTAGAAGTAGGATTAGACACCAAGTTACTAAAATGTCTTTGAGGTAAAAATAAATGCATGCATGCATAATTTAAATACTCCATAGTTAGTATTTAATACATTCAAGTATTCAACCATTGCTACTGCCGCTGCTAGAGTGCTAGAGTACGTTACGATCCACCAATGTTTGGATTCCATTACTGTCTTTTTGCTATTTCCGTCTAGCCACCATTGTCTTCATTTCGCCTCAGGCATCATAATAATAATATTATTATCATCTATCTATCGCCACCATGCATATTGCAACCACTACAATTCTTGGTATTTTCACTGGCATAAAAATTGTGATATCAATACATATTAATAACAGTTTAATATGTTGTCATGGTCATGGTGTAAATGTGGCAATTAGTAAGATGGAAATGGATGACCAAATATCGCAATAATATGACATTTTATAGCTACCAACAGTTTCAAAAAATGCCAAAAATAAATATAAACTGCGATTGTCTTTCGTGTTGATGCCTTTGTTGTAATGATATTGAATGCGCAAAAATGAAAAGTTTTATAATGTTGGTTACTTTGGCATAAATTGAATATGTGAAATGGAAAGTTACGGAATTGATATGGGGGATTTGGCACAGATTAATGTTACGATCCCACACTGGTCAATTATGGGATTGATTGGTGGCTTATAAGCAAGGTGTTCCCTCCTAATCGGTTGGTCTTTTAGGAGTGAGTTCTACACCTGGGCTTGTGGCACTGGTATGGGCCTAGTATGGGCTAGGTCCGTAACAATTAACCGATGATTTCGTGTCAAATAGATTGTGTCAAAATGTTTTTGACACAAATTGGAATAATCTCTGTCAAATCCTCTACTTTTTTCGCGAAAGAGGTCAAGAAAAGTACTCCGTAAAATTTTTGTTTGAATATAAAACTAGTACAAACATTTTGAAATAATATTGACGTACTATGTAGTATTAGCACGACAGTTTGACCTTAACTTGACGATATTCAAAATGTCAGTACTTCTATTTAGAGAGGTATGATAATTCTATTCAGAAAAAACACGTACGGCGTATATTTTACTTCTATTTAGTGAAACCTTTACAAAAAATAGTCATAAAAATTGTATTCCTCGCATTTTCAGTACAATATACTTCAAACTTCTAAACATTTGATACGTAAGCAAAATAAGTGTTTTGGAAAGTTAGTAGTATGATGATTACTAAAGCTCACTTAAGTATTTCTGTATTTTCGCTTGGTATTGCAACTCTGATTCCACTCTTTGGGGGTCCTTCATGCTCACCTAAGTGCTTCATCTTGGTATTTCAACTCGAGTTGCATATCTTTCGTACTTAATTTTGGGTTCACTTAGTTTGTTTATTATTTTATGACATAATTGTTTTAATTTTATCATTTATATTCACTTTAGAGTAACTTCAATCACCCAAATTTGAAAAATATTCATATTGAATGGATGTTAAATTCCACCTGAAAGTATATTCATCAAATTAAATCTAAGTTCAAATAATACTCAACTGTATTCATCAGGATTCAGGACTACTTAACCTTTGTGATGAAACTATTCCCTAGAACCTAGTCTTGCGGAGAACCCAATGTGCACCGGAATGCTCTTTTAGCAAGAAAGGCTTATTATTATAAAAAAAATTAAGTCATTGTACTCCAAAAACAACCAAATAAATCCTCAATGTTTTAAAAAAAACATCCAAAACTGTCTAATTAACCCAAATAGAGTTCTTTTAATGTACTTCGTAGTATATATTTTTAGTTCCTTTTCCGAGCACTAAATTTACAGTTTTTTATCTTGAGAAACGTGTCAAATCGATCATCATACTTTTTTTAAAAAGTTAATTTACTCATTGTACTTTAACTTCCATCAATTACGCCCTACTATTATGTATTTTTGTCAAATGTTAATATCGATTTTGACTTATAACTTGCCAGTCAACAGGTTACCTGCTGCCTGCTGACTAGGCGCACACATGGCCTGTCCACGCCACATTTTTTCCTTCTTTCCTTTTCTTTTTTCTTTTTCTTTTTCTTTTTCCTTTTTCCTTTTTTCTTTTTTCTTTTTCTTTTTTTCTCTTTCCCTGTTTGGCCTTTCTTTCTTGGGCAGGACTCATTCTTCCTCCATAGCCTTAATTTCCGGCAATTTAATGCCGCTCTGGGCTGGCCCAATTAGACCATGGTTATTCATGGTGGCACCGACCTACTCCATTGAAACCAGAAATGTGGGCCGCTCGGGTCTCTTCCTTGACAAGAGGATTCGAAATCATTCCTTGTAAGGCTAAGCCATGGTTGTTCGATCAACGTCCACGGTCTTTACCCGAAGTCTAGAAACATAGATGGTTTCATGAACTGGGTGGCGCCGGCGAAGGTGGGGAAGAGTGACATGGAAGATAGTTTATAGATGCTCTAGATTCCAGAAGGAATGTATTGGCAAATATTTGACGGTTTAATTCTACATTTATGGGAATTAATCATGAAAGTTAATGGTACATTTATAAGACATAATATTGGTTGTTAGGACGTTTTTATGTATTAATACGAAAATTAATGTAATTAAGGGGAATGATTAACCGTCACAACGAAGAAATGTTGGAAGAGCATTGATTCTTCTCTTATAAATAGGAGATTATTTCATTGTAAACACAACACACTTTTTTTTGCCTATACAAGGGTTAAACTTTTGGGCATTGCGTGCAAGCACCGGACAACTATCACATGGGGAACCTTTCCTTGAAGCGCTACACGACCCCTTCATGGTTGTATGTATTGTACTTGATCATTAAAGCGGAATCCTCCATGGCCACAAGTCCACAACCAACGGATGGGAGGCGGGGAGATATGTTAGTCGTTTTAGTAAACACAAATTAGAAAGGTCAAATTTGTAAACAATAGCACATGGAGAATGACAAGTTTCGGTGTTTTTACAACTTCGAGGGATAGATGGTTGTTTTTTAAATGGATTGTCGTTTATTTTTTACTTAATGGACTTAATCATTAAGACACACGTCTTAATCCAGAAATGACTTAATAGTAAAAATGTAAACAATTCTTTAATCTTTTTAATTGGACATATTTCAATTTTAGATTAAAGCAGACTATATCAGATCAGATTAAACTTTGATAGTTATAAAATTCAAAACGACCAGTTATCTACCAAACCAGACCAAAAAATTTCAGTCTAAATAAAAGCATCCTTAGTTAATAAAGTAAAAAAAAAACCTACTCGGTATTAATTATGATTTGTACCTATTAAAAATTGCAAGAGTAAATTATACATGGGCGAGTGAAGGGCCGGAAGAAGTCTTAACCCCCAAGAAAAAAATTTGAATGTACAAATTTAAGTAGTTAAATCGCTACTCGATAACAAATCGATCAAGGGCTGGGTAACGAGTAGGATCTAGCATATAGGATTACTCGGTGACTACTCAGTCCTATATTAATTAATTAATTTTAAAAATATAAAGGCTAAATAAGTAAATAGTCAAATGGGTCTTTATATCGGTTGTGTTTGCTCAATTCAAATCTCGAACTAAAAAAGTTCAATTCGCTCTGTAGCGGTAAGAAATGGTTCAAATTTCATTCTTTACAGGAAAACACCCGATCACCCGGCACATCACTCGTTTGGTTGTCACCTGTGCATCTGAAGTGAAAACTAAAACCTCAAATAAGTCCTTGAACATGTTTGAATTTCTCAATTAATCCCCTCAAGGCCTGAACTCTATATCAACATTTTGGTTAAATTCAAGATGTGAATATAATAATATAAAATAGATGAAAAGATAATATATGCATGTTTTGACATTATATTTTACTCTTAAATTTTTATTTTAGGCCTATAATTTCCTACATAAATTTTTACTAATTAGTTTTAATTTTATTTATATTTTATATTTGGTATTTTTGTATGTATTATATTTTGTTTTTAATATATTATGCTATATTAAATGTATAGGTTTAGAAACTGCTCAAAGTAGGATGAAAATTGAAATATGAGTTTTTTTAATCCTGATTAGGTGTACATGAATCCTATTTTGAAAAGAAATAACGACATTCTTACTTGAGAGCATTTGATATGTTGTGTTTCTATTTAGGTTTTTTTTCTTTAGAGCTTTAGAAAGTTCAAACATTAAAATATGGTGGGAAACTTGTAAACCTAGATTTTTTAAGGTTTATTTCCAATTTTTAAAGATACCCACTCATTATATATAAATTACATAATATCCCTCTTTAGATAAAACTTTTTCAGATTCAACTTAAAAATAACCTAGTCGAGTCACTCGCCGAGTTGAAAATGTCCCGAGTTTAGAAACGCGCTGATTACTTGTCGTGCAACTCGGAAATAATATACAGACCATGTAAAATAGCTAATCAGCATTGTCACCAACCAAGTTGAAAGTACTCCTCGAGTACTAACTAAGTAATGGTCGCATACTCGCTGAGTACTCGTCGAATAGAAAAACAAAGGTACAAATATATAAATAAATAAAAATATAATAATGAAAATATATTGAAACTTTAAGTTTTGACCACCATTGGAGTTCTAGTCCTGTTCCAAAGAACAATTTTACTTTATTTTTACATAAGTTTTTCTTTTCTTAACTAAATATAAGCTACCTACTACAATTAGGGTGAATTCGGTTTGTTTGGTTAGATTTTAACCAAAACCAAACACGAAATCAAAGTCGAAAGTTCGACTTAATTTGGGTTTGGGTTTACAATTTTACATTTTAAAACATGAAATCAAAGTTTGATTGGTTTGGTTTCAATTTTTTTACTAAAAAAAATTCATTTGATTTAAAATGATACAATAATTGGGGAGGTTAAACATACTCCCTCCGTTTCTAAAAGAAAGTCACGGTTTGACTTCACGATTATTAAGGAAATAAATTGACTTTACTGTAGAAAACACTGTTTAGACACTGTTTGGCACTGTTTGGACACTGTTTGGCACTGTTTGGCACTGTTTGGATGTAGATTTCTTTGCCAAATAAGGAAATAAGGGAAGTGTGACTTTTATTTTGGCACATCCAAAAAAGGAAAGTGTGAAGTTCTTTTAGAAACGGAGGGAGTATTTCTTAAAAATGCAAGCATACTAGAACGAATAAAAGCATGTCTTCTTGATTTACATTATGATTAGTTTGAAAAAAGTTCATGAATATTTACATTATATGTGATATACAGAGTAATTGAGATAAAAACCTCTATCAATATAAAAACTTCAAGTTACATAAAATAAATGTTACTAGTAATAACCAATAAAAGTATACCACAATCATGCAACAAATTGCAAAATGCTCCATACATATGTAGAAGACATAATAGATGAATATAACTACATCATTATAGGCAATGAATGTGTAATTGCATTTATAAACTAAACTAAATATAACACAAATATTAACTTTGTAGCACAAGTAACCAAAGACTACTGATGATATTATGAGTAATGCTTAACGATTGACAAATAAAATTTCATATTTTGATCAATTCAATTTGTTGAGTTCAATACAATTTTGAAGGATAAAAATAGGCATGAACCGGTTCCGATTGGCCCGGCCCAAACCCAGTTACAAACTGGGCCGGTTCCGGGCTCAAAAAATAAAAGCCTGGTTTGGACCAGCCCAGAACCGGTCCATGCCTAGATAAAAACCAGCACCTAGCGAACAACTACAATTTGGTTCGGTTTTTTACCTTCAGAGTTTTGGTTTTTTAGCTATTCTGTTTAACTTGGTTTGTTTTGATTCAATTTTCGAATTTCAAACTCAACCCTAATGGCAACAAATATCCATAGCAAAACTAAAGCTACAAATATATCAAATCTTGCTCAAACTCAAGCACTTCTAAAGAGAGGATGAAGGTAACAACATTCTGGTCATAATCAAGACAGAGAGAACACAAGTGAGCATAGTTGTAGGAAAACATCACTACAAGATAAATTCAGAAATATTTTAGTTCTCATAGATCCAAGGGTGAAGCTCACTCTTCCATGCGGTCACACCTTCTGGGAACCAAAGTGCAATTTCCTTCCTAGCACTCTCAACTGAATCACTTCCATGGATGACATTCCTGCACATCAGTAGTAGTATATCAATGTCCCTGACTGTTTGGATACAACTATACAAGAATAAAATACGAATATAATACTACTCAATAAGCTATATGGTTGTGATTCCTTTCACCAGCCTTGTTCAGATTATCTCATTGGTCAAGGTTCTCATTGGTCAAGGTTGAATTGCTGACATATGTAAAAATAGTGTTTTAAACACATGAATAACTCAAATAGGATAAAAGCAGAGGATTCTCGTAGAATGTTTTTAATTGAACTCAAATTTTCAAAACTAGTTTGATTTGATCTGTTGAAGTGTGATCTGATCTAAACTCATTTGATGGATGTTTGCTCTATGTGCATTTTACAACTGTTGAAGTCTCGTCCAGGACTGAATCCAGTCCAATTAAAAACATCTTTATACTTGGGTTTATGGTATCTAAACATGAGCATCTGACACAACCTTTCACAGATATAAAGACAGCATATGGTGCAGCTAAACAAAAGGATGCAATGAATTTGCATAGCACATGACTGGTATTCCAGTCAAACTTTACTTCACCATTTAGATTTTAGACCCAGGGGATAGTGCACCAATCAGAGAAGGAAATTTTATCTAATATTTACCTCCCAATATCAACAGCAAAATCACCACGGATCGATCCGGGAGAAGACTGTGAGGGGTTTGTGGCTCCAATCATAACCCTTCCAGTTGCAACAGCACCCTTTCCTTCCCATACCATTGCCACAACAGGACCAGAAACAATGTACTCACAAAGGCCATTAAAGAAAGGCTTAGCAGACAAATCAGCATAATGGCTTTCAGCAAAAGCACGGTCAACAGTGACAAGCTTCAAACCTGCACCCACATATCATACGAATGAAGCAATCAATCCTTCAAAAAAATCACTACATATTTCACTCCACATATCAACCTCTCGATCCGTAAAATCAGATGCTGTTCTTTTAAGTTTTAAAAATGAAAAATAAAGCTGTTTCATGGTTTGGAAGGTAAGTAGTTTACTAACCCCTTTTTAAAATTCGTGTAATTTTACATGTAAAAAAGGTTTTCTTTTTTACCGGGAAATAAATAGGTTTACTTGTAGGGTATTTCGAATCTATATTCAAATTGCATTGAAGACGCTCAACATATATCCATCTTTCCCATGAGAGACCTAAAGAGTACGGATGATGTTATAGGTAAGAACACCATTGTACCCAAAGGAAGAGAGAATCTATTCAATCTAAGTAGAAATGAGCTCAATAAGGGACGCACTGAACCTTTGATCAAGCACAATAACCTAAATTTTGAAGTGAAAAGAAAAAACACCACTTTCAGCGTGCCAAAACCAAACTGTAGATGCAGAAACATTCATAATTCGAACTTTAAGTTATCAAAAACGATCAACACAACCAATACACAGAACAGAAGCAAAACAACATTTAGTAGACATTAATGCATCAATTACCTTTCAGAGAGAAGCCCTTCTTCTCAAACCGGCCAATAATTTCACCTACCTGAAACAAAAATACACAAAAAAATCTCTTACAAATACTGATTTATTTTAAAATTCCCTGAAGAAACTAAAGGGAGAGACGAACCAGGCCGCGCTGGACGCCATCAGGCTTGATCATGATGAAAGTCTGCTCCATTTCTGACAAGATCTGCTTAGCACCTTAATCGGCAAAGAAAATAACAACCAAATTTGAAGCGATGAAGATTTTATAGCGAAAATGAAGGGGGCGAACCCTAATTATACCAATGAGAATATTCTACGGAAAATATTGAGGTCCATTTAGGTGTCAAAATTACATTATACGGAGTATAAGAGAAAAACTTTTGGGCTACAAACATGCTTCTTTACTGGTCAGTGTTGTGATACTACTCACCACCGGCCCGTGTTAAAATTTCATAGTAAAGTTTTACTAGAAGTAACTACAATCAATTATAAATTTACTAGTTTTTTTACTCGTTCCGTGCACGGGATAAAATACATTTTTATATATATCTAAAGAGAGTGGATGACTGAGAGTTTTTCATAATTGAAAAAAATGCTAAAGACAATACGTCAAGTGAAAACTTTCAGAAGATTTTACTTTTTTTTATCAGTCAACTTTTTAATAAACACGTAACTTTTGATTCTTCTCATTAAATTATGTAATAATTAGAACTATTTTTCAAAATTGATTTTACAAATAGATGAAAGATAAATTATATAAAATAAGTAAAGTGACCTATAATAACTTCAGTCAATTCGGTGGAAAAAGTAAATCTAACCTTACATATGTATTTTAATTATTACACAATTAAGCGTGAAAAAAAAAAGTTCCGTGTTTATAAAAATTTAAGAGCCCATTTGATAACCAATATTTTCAGCTTATCAAATCTTTTTAGACAACCTTTTCATAAACATGTAACTTTTAAATTTTCATGCTAGATTGGTTGCTTTCACAATTAAATATACTTAATGTCATTTAGATTGTGCTTAATATTTTTATTTGTGTTTTTCTTTATGTTACACTTGAAAGACTCTTATATGCACAAATTCATTTTTTACTTCATCGTTTATTTGGTTGGAGCAGCAAATATGGCATCAATAAAGTTAATTGAATCGCATCATTGCTAATGTCAAAAAATGTTACGCAGTATTTTTACACGAATGCCAGGTGCTATGACTATTGAATTAGATATCAATAGTCATAATAAAATACTATTCTTACATTCTACGTAGTATAATAAAAATAAAAAAATAAAAATATCTTTTACCTGGGTAAAAAATAAGACTGCATGTGCTAACATTTGCTAAATACACATTTGTCTTAATGCTTTTTCAAATTTGTGTTCACCTTTCTAATTAAGGATATTTTCAATTGGAATCAATTTCTTTTATCTGATCTACGAAAGTAAAAGTTATATTTACTTTAGTATTAAATATCAACATAAATCTTGATATATTTTTGTCGAGAGTTTCAGATCCGTAAAAGCTTTATTAATTACATATATAGGAATCATATTGTAATTCTGAAAGTGGCGTTTAAGAGCTAGATAAATAAGCTAGATTGTGTATAAAGAGTAATTATTTTACCCATGGATGTAACATTAATATAGTATTATTCGGTCATAAAATTTAGATAATTTTTCTTTTCTAAATATGGGACATAGTTTGATATGCTTATGTTTCAATTATTATTTGTCACTTGATGTGAGGATCTTTTTATAGATTAAATTCAACTAATCTTCTTCGTTCAATAACACTTATTTTAAATCAATCTAACGGAAACTAAATCCACCATCACCATTCGCGTTTTGCAACCGGCCTGTTGTGACCGGCATGACCTTCATTGAAATCAGAATGTCACAAAATTATATATTCCGAGCTTGTTTCTTAAAGATTGAGTTAGGACTAATTTGCTCAATTCTAAATCTTAGAAGAGCTAATATCTTCAAACAAACGACCACATCCATTATTTAATAAATAAATCACAACAATGTGTGGTTATTAGTTTAAAAAAACAATAAGCTACAAATGAATAGCCCGTTAGGTGACCCTATTTTTCGGCTTATCAGGATTATGAGTTAACTTTTTTCACTAAACACGTAACTTTTGATTTCGCACGCTGAATTGTGTAATAATAAGAAAAGGTAAAGTTGATGAAATTAATTTTTGGATGTATTGGCTGAAGTTACTGTAGATGATCATTTTAGCGGTTTTTTCATATAATTTTTTCTTTATTTTATTAATAAAATATATTTTAAATATTATTTTTTTTCATAAATTAGCAGAATCAGCCAATCCAGCCACTTCGGCCAAAAGTTCATAAATTTCAGCAGAATCAGCAAATATAGCCTATTTGAGTATTATCAAACGGGCTCGAAGTCAAACGGATAAAAATAAGCATTGAGTAATTTCTTTTTTTTTTGGTTAGATAGAGATTTGAAAAGACGAAGTTCATTTGGATGCAACTTAGAGTTATAAAAAATTGACTCTTTTAATTGGAAAACATATACTGAGAACGTGTTTACATAATTAGTCAAAAAATAAGACATACTTAACAAATAAAAATATGCATTATCAACCAATGTTATAATCGACTAAATGGGTGATTTTCTGTTGGTTATAATAACTCATACATATGTCGCTGCGCGCACAAATATATAGTATAACTAAAACTAAATCTTTTTATTAGTCGGTTGTATTAACTTGCACATAGGGCAATCCTAGAAAAAAGTTAAGTGCACATGTGATAATTTCTGTTTTTAGCTTATTTGTTTAACTGTCAATTTTTTAATAAACACGTAATTTTTAATTTTTCTCACTGAATTATGGAATAATAGATGTACTAAAAACTATATAGATGAAAGAAAAATTATACATAGTATAAAATAGACAATATGATATTCTACAATAACTTTAGTCAATTAAGTAAAAAATAGTAAAACTAACCTTTTATATATATTTTGATTATTACACTATTAAGCTTGAAGAATCAAAAGTAAAGTGTTTATACAAATTTAAAAGCCTGTTTGACAACCTCTCTTTTCAGCTTATCTATCTTATCAAACAACCTTTTTACAAACATGTAACTTTCCATTCTCCATGTTGATTTGGATAACAATCAAAATATATAAAATTAGATTTATCTCTTTGACTGAATTGACTGAAGTTATTGTAGAAGATTATTTTAATTTTTTTATATGATTTTTCTTTAATCTATTAGTATAATTTTTCTCTAATCTATTAGCGATTACATATTGGAGAATATGTGTTTGATTGTAATTGCATTTGAGTGCCATTATTCTTGCATCCATAAAATCCAAGTAAAATTTTATAGAAAAGGGTTGCAATAGCAATCTTATATATCGGAGTATTTATTTATGAAATTGTTATGGGACCAATTGATTTTACTCTAGGAGTCTAGGCAATTTTAAAAAAATCTATGTTTAATGAGGAGAATGACCGTGAGAAAATATGGCTTTTGAGTAAATTGCTCTAAATTTGACACATGACAAAATTTTCCGTAATTGTATCTCTCAAATGTATTAATGTATTATCTATAGATAGATAAATTTTTATATACTCAATATTGGTGTCATATGAAAGATAACGAAAAGTTATAAATTTTGATATATTTTTTGTGACAATCTGAGTACAAATAAAAAAAAAAATTATATCACTCTAAAATAAATATGGGATTTTAATTTTTAAATTACGTATATTCCAACACATTGCATTGTTATTTAAATAGATTACGTAATAACATGACTTCTAATCTAACTAAACTGCTAATCTAACGGAAGTATAATATATTAGGCTTGCTCAAAAGATGACACATGGCAAAACTTTCCATAATTGTAACCTTCAAATGTATTATCTATAGATATTTATTAAATGAAATTTAACGTTTTTATTGACAAACTTTGAAATTTAGTCTTGAAAATTGACTCTCGTGGTCACTTTTCTGATTTTTTTTTCTCAAAAAGGTTATTTTCTGAGTGAAAAATCTTTAATATAGACAAATTTATCAATTACTCGTTCATATTTATAAGTGACTAAAGTTATAGAACCCGTTTGGCAATGCCAAAATCGGCTGAATCAGCTCATTCTGTTGAAATTTAGGGGGTGTTTGTTTAGCAGCCTATCAACCATTTTTGGTTAATTAGACTACAATTTAGCCTTTTGACCACATGAATCAGTCAATAAGGGTGTTTAGTAAATATATATGAGGAATGATCACCTCAGGTAATTCTGACAGGAAGCCCCGTCCAAACTTGCCTATTAGAGGGCCTTCCCGGTAGATTTTTTTGATTAATTATTTTTAACATGTTCTCCATGAAGTCTAGTTTATCCATACAAAAATTCAGCTAAAAATTCAACCCGAAAGGCAGTCAAACAATTTTTGGAATATAACTTCGCCAAAATATTCATATAAACACGTAGTTATCTTCCAAAAAAAATTTACTGTCTTCCCGATTGAATTTTTAGCTTAATTTTTTGTAGATAAACTAGACTAGGTTAATAACATGTCCAAAAAATAAAAATAAAAAATCCACCGGGAAGGTCCTCTGATAGGCAAATTTGAACGGAGCCTCCCGCCAGAACTACCTGAGGTGATCTTTTTTCTATATATATATATACTAGTTTAATAATGCGCGTTGCGCGTTCGTGATAATGCCCAAGGCCATTGTAGGGACAACAATATCTCGGTTAGGTTCAATGAATATATTAGACAAATGTAGATGGTGGTCTCAACATCAGACAACTTGAGCTCTCATACTATATTAATAGATTAAATTCGGGATAACGTGAATACGTGATACAAAAATCAAATGACTTATATGCTAAATTTGTTTTGAAGTAGCATGACTTGACAATCAGGACAACAAGTATCGGAACATGGATCAGTACTTTATGAAAGTGGAGGTTGTCATCAAAAGGGACTGCAATGCCTAACTTGGTCTAATTTCTGAGCCAGGTAATGGTGTTTCTACAGACGGGTAAAAGAATGATTGTCATGTTCAGCTTAAGTGTTTTTGCAGCATAACAAACACATGCACCCATAACATCATAAGCAACTTTGTTCTTGTACTGAATGTATTTCCAAACAAACAGCCCAACCATAGCTCTGTTCCATAATAGAAGCACCCAACATGAAGTACTTGAAATCTTTGCACCATCGGATCAGAGGGTTCGACACTACAGTCGGCTTCAGTTTTTGGCTTAGCATTTGGCTCAAATTACGGCTGCCATGCCCCCTCACTGTCTGAATTGAGCTTGCAATAACAGCATCTCCAAATTCTCAATCTGTTACACATGTAATCAAGTCAATAGATCTCTAGATCAGATT